AAAAGCTTCCTTAATAATTCGACGGAAAGTGAGTAAATTATCGTTATCTCTTTGTCGACATCACATTCATCAGTCAACCCTTCAAAGTTCCATTTTCTTCCAAACTAATAGACCAATCGACTCCTCAACATGCTGTCGCCAAACTCTCTGAGTCGACGTTCGAACTGCATTCCTGTCATATGTATTCCAAACACCTTGGAATCCTGTCCTGAGTTCTCATAATCACCCTTTCTCTAAAATCGTACCTAGTCAGCCTCAGCAGCTTTTTATGAAATGCGCGCTCGAGTTAAAAACAGGTCATCCGCCCTTCCGGGTCCTTGGCTACGATTGGGACGACCCTTCATCTTGTTCCCGGCTAGTTAATGGATGGCTGGAATAGTTCTTGCGCTTCTTGGACGCCTTTGGATGATTCTCTTCTCTTGTTTTTCGGGACCGGCACCGCCTCCTTCCATGCTACCAGTCTCGGTTAGGCCCTTAGAAAATTCTACCGAGGGATCTCGTGGACGTGGGGGACAAATGAATGGTGAGGGCTCCGTAAATACTGGTATATTCGTTCAAACATAGTCCTCGCTTCTCGCTGATATTCTCCAAGAACAAATCTGGAGCGCACAGCGGGAACAATTTCTCCGACATCCAAGTCTTCGCTCGAACGAGAGGGGTTACCATTCTGAAAACGGGGATGAGTCGAAGAAGAAGAACGGCAAGAATAGGGACCTCAATCTCCCCACCCTTATCGTCCAAGATTGGAGCACCTCACCCCCCGCCGCTATCGCGAAGCCTCCACCTCGCCCGCCTCGTCCGCCTCGCCCTTCCTCTGGACAAGTACCTTTCGTGATCATAACGCCCTGCGCCGCAACTGACAGTGAGGGGATTTCCAGTACGATGGATGATTTTCCGTTCAATTCCGCCATTTCCTCTCCGCTCGATGCTATCGCGGCACTTACGCTACTAGTAAAACCTTCGACCACGCCTCCCGTGCTCAGAGATTCCAATAAGAAGAGGCTCATTACCTTCGTGGATGACTCGAAACCGGGTTCCAACCCGTTCCTTGAACGGGATATCGTCGAAGGTAGCAACGCAGGAAAGCGCGAGAACCCTTTCGCTGCACCTTCGCATCTCTCAGTATATTCCCCTCAGCCACGCCTCGTTCTTTCCGAATCCCTGACCAATATATCTTACGAGGCCAAGGATTACTCGGGGAATTTTCATTCAGCTGTCTCCGAGACTCTAGCCGACACCTCGTGGAATCCGGTGACGCCCAATGATTCACTCAATACGCAAACCTTTCCCTATACGACCAGTACGCCTGTTAAGCGGCGTCGATTGGCCACCATGTCCGATTCTGAACTGGTGTTCCATGCCGACTCCCTTCCATCGGATGGTGGCACATCATTGACAACACATGGCCTACGTCTACCAGCAGACCAGCTCGACCTGCTCCCTTATCCAGATGTATTCGACTTGGACATGTACTTTGGACCAGAATCTAACCGCTCCAGCCTTGTACCCCAGGATGGTCCCTCGCCTTCTATCATTCGTGTCCCAATCGAAGACAGGAACCCATTCTTGATCTCCAACGCGACCGTTCTCGGAACTGACGACACCACCAGCAAAGTCACCAAGCGCTTTGGTTTTGTGAGCGACGCGGCTGTCAACCCTACCGCAGTATCGCCCTCTGCGTGCCCCGCCCTTCCTGCAATGCGCGAAACCAGGCGACACCGCGATCAGTATCGACACCGTGCGTATTCACGATCCCCCCAGGTGGCTATCGAGGACACAAGTTTGGATTCCATCTCGGGCGTCAGCATCACACCTCCACATTTGATTTCCCCACCCCGCATCGGACCGTCTCGTCCTGCCCTGCGCGAGTTAACCCAGAATCAAGTAGTACCCTCTTCGTCTCAGGGACCGTCATCTGCACGTCGAGTCCAATTTTCGGAACAGGAGCAGTACCCTGAGTGTAGCGCGACTCCGTTTCCCTCTCCCGTTTCTGAAAAGGTGAAGCTGCCTATTGTGATCGTCTCGCACTACCGATCTCCGTCATCATCCACATTGTCATCCACACTGTCAGGCGGAAGCTTGTTGTCGGAAAGCGTCTAGGATTACGCCAATATTCTCGGGCGAGCCAATGTAGATTATGTATCTATTCATCAACGAATGTGTATCCACCTCACTGTATAATGCAACCTTGAATTTCGTCGCGTTTCCTGTTCTGACTCTCCTCCTGATTTTCACATTTTCAAGTCAAAATTCCGATACCAAAATTACTTCATTCTAGAGCTAGCATATAAACTTCGCGAATTATATCATGAGGCCTTCAAGCGAAAGTACTTTATCGATTTATCCACTGAGAATCACTATTAGAAACCGACCACTACGGTTGGTCTGGGTCAGGACAGGCGCCGTTGGCTGCTTTCAAGCGTATCACCATCAATATTAATGTTTCGGAACGACTTGAAGAGTTGGACCTTCTTCCAATTACTGGTCTAGACCGTACCCTTGAAGAAAAGATAGTCATCAACGGAGACAGAGTCGATCTCAGCTCTGCGTTGTACCTCGAGGAATTCCGCTTTCAAGGGTCCCACCTTTTTCTCGCTGAGAAATTGTTGAATCTCCCTCGCGCATTCTTAACTTTGCTCAGTATCACTTGCTCCAAGATCTCGGTCAACGACACTCTTTTTACACTTCAAGCATGTCCTTATTTGACAGAGGCCACCTTTGCGACTGTCTGTGCAGAGGTCGATTGTGAATTGGGTAACAGATTCGACCTCAAACTAGTTGGAAAGTTGCCATCTCCGTTGCTGAAGCTTACCATCACCACCTCCGTCGATGTGACCCACTTCATGAGATCGTTGGACTGGAAATATGTTCCAATCATCACCATCAATGTGCTGGATGATGGTGTGGCAGCGCAAAATTGGGAACGGTGTTTTGCTTGCGTCCCAATGGGCACTCAAGTAACCATGAATGGCAATTTCTCGAATGAGAACATGGCGGAGATTCGAGGCGATATTTTCTGTGTATCTTTTGGTCGGTGAATAGCTGCAGTTTCCCATTACTGTTGACGTAAATAACGTAGTTTCATATAAATAATATGCCTGGAATAAGGGAATCAATGAAGAAGACTGAAAAAAGCCTTGTCCATAGGACCGAAATGTTTCTTAGAATATATCTGAGCTTTCCGAAGGTGCCCTAGTGGCATTGAGTGATTTTCATCAAGAGCTTCATACCACCGAGAGCACACCATCCTGGCGAGTAGGCCATCAGCGCTCTTGCACAAAGGAAGACGGAGGTATTCCAGGAATGGCGCAAACTCGTGTTCCCCAGCCGCAGACTTGCTTGACAAGAATTCCACCATCTGGTCAGAAACGTGGTCCACACTAAGGTAGAGGGACTTCAGGGACCGGAGTGGACTGTCCGAGAGGCATCTCTTTAATTCTTCATCGGTGTCCATGGCATCACGGAAGTCCAGTTTCTGTAGATGACATCCGGATCGGCGGAGAAAACGAGGTAATTCTTGGAGGTCTTGGTTGGATTGTCCAAGATAGTTGCTGTGAATTATTGCGAGACTCTCAAGTGAAGGGCATGTAAGGCTTGCAATGAAGGAAGTCGCCGGAATCTCATGCGAGCGAATTCTAAGCAGTCGGAGACGCTGGAGTAAAAGCGGCGAGACAATACTGGGGTTCTTTTGTGAGTAAAGTCGCAATGACTCTATCTGCAGCTCTTGAAGGAGGGGAACTTGAGGAAGGAATGACATGATGTCGTCGATGGAGACCGAGAATCGTGCGTGAACATGGGTTAATTGAAACGGAGCATGTTGCGGGAAGCGGCGGAGTTCGCGGGTGTGCCAAACCACTTTATGCAAAGTCGGGCAGCTGTGGAAGTATTTCCAGATTGCGTCAACGCCTTCTTCTGCTTGACGATGGACAAGCAAGTCGTGGAAGTCAAGGTCGACAGATTCTAAAATCAGAGGTTTGTGCGGAGAATCGATGAGTGCGTAAAGAAGCCCTAAAACCTTGACCGACACGTTGAAACGAAATTTCCTCCAGCGTGTCAAATGAGGTATAAAGGATCGGAGGATTTGGGCTTCTGAACTAACATCATGTTGACGTTTTCCTGAGTTGTAGTCCATTTCTAGGTCGAGGGGGTTCTTCCCTGACCTCTCGAGCCAGACGTTGGTGAGATAGATTTGGGAAGGTTTGGGGTTGTATATGAGGATATTTGACCACAGTTATGGTAGACTGACTGCCACTGCGCGCCAGCGCGAGCATATCTGTCCCAGTTTTGTCGGATCCGAGCGACAGGTGTAGGAGACAAGGGGCCGAGGAGTATCGTCGAAAACAGGATGCACTGAGTCGTCTTCCATGAACCTTTCGAAGATCTCGCAGATAATTTCGGCAGGGAGCTGGGAAACATCAAAACCTAATTTTCCTCTTGACGGATATGGCACGCGAGATGGCACGCTGCGTTCAACGCGGTCGATTGCGATGTTCGAAGAGGAATTCAAGGACGGACGCGAGAGAAACAGAGATGCAATCAATTCTGCTAAGATTTCATTTGTCGCTTCTGTGCTGTCGTCAGCGTTTGTTTGGACGGATATGATGAATGGGCGCACCAGAAGATGAACCCGATGGAGGTGGTGAATTGGCGATCGCGTGCATGGCTATACGTGTTGCTCGTCACGAAGAGAAAATGAAGTCCACTTTGGAAAGGCTTGAGCAAGAGGATCCGAAGGCCAGGTCGTACCAGAAAACCATTATAATGACTAAGTACAAAGTAACTATACGAGAACAAGGACGGGGCAAGCGCTTGTTCCAGGTATATAAGGAGTCCGAAATTTAGCCTGAGGGCGCGTTCCAAAACCTGTTGTTGGTCGGATTAGGCCTGATTGATGATTGAGCATTTCCTTCCCATGCGTCGATAAAGAAAATCCCCATGAGCCTTCTTCACCTCACGTTGTGTAAAATAATGTCAAAGAAAAAGGCGAAAAAAATTAAACTAGCCCACCGCGAGGGTCGAACTCGCAGCCTTCAGATTCCGAGAGGAATGCAATTGACACCGCCTTAAGAGTCTGACGCTCTATCCGATTGAGCTAGGCGGGCCATGCATTCCATTTCTTCAGAGATAGCCATGATTAAAATCAAACTCGACATGAGTTCGAACACGTCTTATTACATGTTCGAACTGCTCAACTTCTGAATCATACATCTACAATATATAGTAATAAATGGTTCTGTCTCTATAGGTTCTGGGATTATTCTTGGGGTTCTAGGCGCTCTGGATATTATTGGGGCTGGAAATCAAATGCTTATTGCCTTTTCCAGCAGCCGCCATCAGCGGTTTCCACCTCTTCTTCGAACAGTCATTTACTCTCGACAACGAAATAGTCAATCAGATAGCCAACTCTAATTCTACCTAATTCATGTCAAGGAGCTCATAGACCGCGCATTGGAAACGTTGGTCGTTGCCAAATTGGAATGGGTGTGAGGGAAACCAGGGGCCGCGTTCTCCAGGTGTGTAGCCTATTTTATTGTGGGAGATAGGTTGTAACGACTCGGGGCCCTTATAGGAACGCACCAACAACTTTCAGCCTTCCAAAAACCCCGCCTTTCGCCAACCAACATCAGCCATGGAACCGTGAGCTTTGACCTCTTCAGCTTCGACTTTGCCTCTCATTTTATGTTTAGACACATCCAAGCTATGCTCACTCCAGTGGCGGCTCGAAAAGCCCAGCTTCAACGTTCTGTATCGATAATACCTCCAATTTCGTCTCCAAAGCCTTCGGGATCGGCTCTGGTAAAGGGCAGCGAGAGGAAGCAAAGTGATTCGTTGAAAGGGCGGAGTATAAAGGTCACCAAGGACCTCGACCACGGATTGCCCGTTAATGCATGCAGTGTTGAGGAAGAGGAAAGGAAATCAACGTAAGTCGGATCACTCGATTGTCATTCTTACTCGTTGCGAGTTCGTCAATAGATCCCTCGGTGAGAATTCTACAGCACGCCCGGCCCTCTCGCAAGCGACTAGCCCCCGAGCAATTCGCTATTGCGAAGCCGAAGAAGCGTTGGCAGTGGCTCTGAAAGGGTCTCAGCAGAGCAAGCCCACGACTGACCTCCAAATCGACGCTCTCCGACAAGCCACTTCTGTCCTCAACACACGTATATCCGATGCAGCTGACCAATTGGAGAAAATACGGGGGTTACTCGCTAATCGTGGGGTAGATCCCAGGGTTTACCAAAACATACAACGTCAGCGCTGGATGGAGGAAAGGCGGAAGGAAGCTGCTGAACACCTGTCAAAAGTGCTGGAACAACATTTGACCGCCCTTTCCACTCTACCACGACCATCACGAGCTTCTGCACCAGCTCAGACGTCAACGACTGCCTCCAATTCAAAAGCAAAGGCAAACTCAAATCTAATCGCTTTCTTCGAGTCGTCGTCTTCTTGCCAAAGAATCCCTTCACGGAACCGGAATCGTCGACGTGTCCCTATTCTTCCCAGACCTCGGCCCCCAGAGAAGATAGACAAGTTCCCCCGGGTACACAACCACAAGCAACTTCTTCCACTGAAACTAAAACCGAAACCTCTATTCCTACAGTCGAAACCGACCATTACGCCGCCCTCACCACCTACTTCTACATCCCCCGCCACATCTGCATTCCTCACCACGTTCGCTCTCGGAGTTGTTGGGCTTTTTCGTGGGTTTTTCATTCTTTTTTGTTCGGAAAACATAACTAAAAAAGGCTAAACCAGGGTCGAAAGGTAAAAAAAGAGCCTTGTTCAACTCACTTCTTTGGCCTTATTTTTTCAGACCAGCAGAGGTTCTCCCCCCCCGAAGGGCAAGAAGAACGTGCAAACGTATCTACGGGAACAACTTACAATAGCGTGTATTATGTAGTTCTTAATAAACAGGTTTTCTAACAAGCAGTCAGAAACCGTATGAAAGGAGTAGAACGCGAACTTACCAACAACGGGTTACATCTAAAAAGTAGTCAGTGTGCAGCCACACCGTGTACCGCTAGGATTCCCGGGCTCGAGTATCCACAGCCATGCACAGGTGGAAAGTGAGGGTTTTCGTCGGAGGGAGCATGCCATCTGGACAGCAAAGGGGGAAACGGAAGGTCGAGACAGGATGGCATTGCGCGAAATGGTCGGGCTCGACGGCAAAGACTGGAGTTGTCGAAGGGCAGGCTGAACACAGCGGCAACGTTTCCCAGAAAGAAGACACATGGTATTGGGTCGGGCGTCCAAACGGTTCTCATCTCATGTGGATAGCGGAGGGGGAAAGGGGAAGTCGAGACAGGACGGCAACGTTTCCCGGAAGAAGGAGCACGAAATGGTTTTCATCTCAAATCCGAAGGCCAGGTCGTACCAGAAAACCATTATAATGACTAAGTACAAAGTAACTATACGAGAACAAGGACGGGGCAAGCGCTTGTTCCAGGTATATAAGGAGTCCGAAATTTAGCCTGAGGGCGCGTTCCAAAACCTGTTGTTGGTCGGATTAGGCCTGATTGATGATTGAGCATTTCCTTCCCATGCGTCGATAAAGAAAATCCCCATGAGCCTTCTTCACCTCACGTTGTGTAAAATAATGTCAAAGAAAAAGGCGAAAAAAATTAAACTAGCCCACCGCGAGGGTCGAACTCGCAGCCTTCAGATTCCGAGAGGAATGCAATTGACACCGCCTTAAGAGTCTGACGCTCTATCCGATTGAGCTAGGCGGGCCATGCATTCCATTTCTTCAGAGATAGCCATGATTAAAATCAAACTCGACATGAGTTCGAACACGTCTTATTACATGTTCGAACTGCTCAACTTCTGAATCATATATCTACAATATATAGTAATAAATGGTTCTGTCTCTATAGGTTCTGGGATTATTCTTGGGGTTCTAGGCGCTCTGGATATTATTGGGGCTGGAAATCAAATGCTTATTGCCTTTTCCAGCAGCCGCCATCAGCGGTTTCCACCTCTTCTTCGAACAGTCATTTACTCTCGACAACGAAATAGTCAATCAGATAGCCAACTCTAATTCTACCTAATTCATGTCAAGGAGCTCATAGACCGCGCATTGGAAACGTTGGTCGTTGCCAAATTGGAATGGGTGTGAGGGAAACCAGGGGCCGCGTTCTCCAGGTGTGTAGCCTATTTTATTGTGGGAGATAGGTTGTAACGACTCGGGGCCCTTATAGGAACGCACCAACAACTTTCAGCCTTCCAAAAACCCCGCCTTTCGCCAACCAACATCAGCCATGGAACCGTGAGCTTTGACCTCTTCAGCTTCGACCTTGCCTCTCATTTTACGTTCAGACACATCCAAGCTATGCTCACTCCAGTGGCGGCTCGAAAAGCCCAGCTGCAACGTTCTGTCTCGGTAATACCTCCAATTTCGTCTCCAAAGCCTTCGGGATCGGCTCTGGTGAAAGGCAGCGAGAGGAAGCAAAGTGATTCGTTGAAAGGGCGGAGTATAAAGGTCACCAAGGACCACGACCACGGATTGCCCGTTAATGCATGCAGTGTTGAGGAAGAGGAAACGAAATCAACGTAAGTCGGATCACTCGATTGTCATTCTTACTCGTTGCGAGTTCGTCAATAGATCCCTCGGTGAGAATTCCACAGCACGCCCGGCCCTCTCGCAAGCGACTAGCCCCCGAGCAATTCGCTATTGCGAAGCCGAAGAAGCGTTGGCAGTGGCTTTGAAAGGGTCTCAGCAGAGCAAGCCCACGACTGACCTCCAAATCGACGCTCTCAGACAAGCCACTTCTGTCCTCAACACTCGTATATCCGATGCAGCTGACCAATTGGAGAAAATACGGGGGTTACTCGCTAATCGTGGGGTAGATCCCAGGGTTTACCAAAACATACAACGTCAGCGCTGGATGGAGGAAAGGCGGAAGGAAGCTGCTGAACACCTGTCAAAAGTGCTGGAACAACATTTGACCGCCCTTTCCACTCTACCACGACCATCACGAGCTTCTGCACCAGCTCAGACGTCAACGACTGCCTCCAATTCAAAAGCAAAGGCAAACTCAAATCTAATCGCTTTCTTCGAGTCGTCGTCTTCTTGCCAAAGAATCCCTTCACGGAACCGGAATCGTCGACGTGTCCCTATTCTTCCCAGACCTCGGCCCCCAGAGAAGATAGACAAGTTCCCCCGGGTACACAACCACAAGCAACTTCTTCCACTGAAACTAAAACCGAAACCTCTATTCCTACAGTCGAAACCGACCATTACGCCGCCCTCACCACCTACTTCTACATCCCCCGCCACATCTGCATTCCTCACCACGTTCGCTCTCGGAGTTGTTGGGCTTTTTCGTGGGTTTTTCATTCTTTTTTGTTCGGAAAACATAACTAAAAAAGGCTAAACCAGGGTCGAAAGGTAAAAAAAGAGCCTTGTTCAACTCACTTCTTTGGCCTTATTTTTTCAGACCAGCAGAGGTTCTCCCCCCCCGAAGGGCAAGAAGAACGTGCAAACGTATCTACGGGAACAACTTACAATAGCGTGTATTATGTAGTTCTTAATAAACAGGTTTTCTAACAAGCAGTCAGAAACCGTATGAAAGGAGTAGAACGCGAACTTACCAACAACGGGTTACATCTAAAAAGTAGTCAGTGTGCAGCCACACCGTGTACCGCTAGGATTCCCGGGCTCGAGTATCCACAGCCATGCACAGGTGGAAAGTGAGGGTTTTCGTCGGAGGGAGCATGCCATCTGGACAGCAAAGGGGGAAACGGAAGGTCGAGACAGGATGGCATTGCGCGAAATGGTCGGGCTCGACGGCAAAGACTGGAGTTGTCGAAGGGCAGGCTGAACACAGCGGCAACGTTTCCCAGAAAGAAGACACATGGTATTGGGTCGGGCGTCCAAACGGTTCTCATCTCATGTGGATAGCGGAGGGGGAAAGGGGAAGTCGAGACAGGACGGCAACGTTTCCCGGAAGAAGGAGCACGAAATGGTTTTCATCTCAAGTGTTATACCTTTGACACTTCTATGAGACGAATGCTAAAGGAAATACAAAAGGTAAACGCACCATGGTAGCACTAAATTCAAGTTGGTTCGGTTGGGAATAGCATTTCCCGGAAGGCGAAATATGGTGTC